CAGCAGGAGGAGCACACAAATTGCTATGATAGACAGTATGTGGGAACAGAACTTTCAGATTAACATCCAACCCCTGTCAGGGGGCTCCACAGACACGCAGGAACAAATATATCCATTGGCATGTGACATTACGGATCTGTGGTTGCAAAGTACATCAAAAAGGGGCATGTACATTTAAGATTACTGCAGCAGGTGAAAACTCAGTTCTCTCGCATCTTCCTCCCTCCCCTGCCCTTGCAAGTTTAGTCATCACTCAAACCCTGCTCCCTGTTCTACCTTAATTCATCAGTGGCTTAACCACTTCATGCTCTGGTTTATTTAATTACTGACCTTGCTGACACTGAAAGTCTGTGGAAAGAATACCAAGAAACCATGATCAGTTCTGCGTAACTTCTAAAGAATTTCAGAATTTCAGTTATTAGTATTTCCCATAACACTGAAATTAATAGCAGAGTTGCACTTTCAAAGTGAATAGCACTTCCATTATAAACTGTTCATACAAATTATTTTAAAAGACATTTAGTCTTTTATGAATGGGATTAATTAAATGTTTCTGGGCAGAAAGATAAAAGTTAACTTGTTGGCGACTTTCTGTAGAGAAGTTATAAAAATTTAGGGAATTTTAAAAACATTTATATGGGATTTTTTCATATTGGTGGTCACTTTTGCTTAATGCTTCAGAAGAAAGCAAAATCCTCCAAAATTATGTGGGATGCAGGAATGGGGGTGAGGAAGGAATTCCTACTGACTCATGTGAACAGCTGGCACCATGAAACACCAGCTAAGATTACCGTTTGCAAAAACAAGCCTAATTACAAGTCATCAAGGAATTCAAGCTACCTGATTATATTCAGTCACTTACAAAAATAATGTTAACATTTCCAGTTTAAATGAATGATTAATGTTAATTCTTCTGTTGCATTTTCAGTAACAGAAGATATGCTAACATGATATGACATCAGAAAGCAGAATACAAGGGAACCTCTGAAAAAAGGAAGTGCACTAGGTGGAAGGCACGTCAATGCTAGTAAATGACAGAAATGTACGGCTAAGACCAGAGGCACCTTCTTGATAAAAAAAGCTTTTGTTGACATGCTGTCTCTTCCCTCATTCTGCCAGATAAATGCGTGCATGTCAGAAGGCCATCTTGAGCCATTAATCTCTAGCACTGAATTCCCAGTCAAGTCATCAGGAATTAGCCATTAAGTTCGAAGTTGTCTCTACTTTGATTATCCTGCTCCCCTAGCATGTAAAAATGCACCAGGAGAACTGTTGCACCTTCTCCTTAAATCCAGCCTGAAACTACACCTTGTTTGTAAATTCTGTTTTCACCTTCCCTCCCCCAGCATCAGCCCCAGTTGGTAACAATCAGGTATTATTTTGTCTATTATTGTCTGCTTCTTGACATAATTTCCTAACTATGACAAGTGTGGCAGCTTTTAGCATAACAGTTTAGTTCCCCATGTTCACCATTTAAAACATAACTTCTTTCTATTGATACACTTCAATATCCTTCTTCTTCACAGTTTTGTGAATGCAGCACTACACTTTGAGAAGACAGCCCTGAGTATTTACAAAACAGCTGTTCGTATTAATTGTGCCTCTCTTGGGGAAGGTAGGGAGGAAAGGTAAGGACACAGACCTAAATGAAAATCAGCAATCATAGTGGTTAATTCTAAAGCTGTGGGCAATCAACTGGCCAAGCAATGCACCTTCTGTCACAGGGCTGGCATGTCCACTTGAACTACCTCAAGTCACTGCTTCCTGGAGCCTCCCTGACTGTTCCAGTAAAACATTTTAGCTCCACGCACCGTCAGTATGTCTAGGGTATCAGGAATACTCACAGCTCCTCTACTGGAAGAAAAGTGGAATACAAGGGAGAAGGACAGGTATGCTAATATGGTTGGAAACTAAGTATGGGCAATATGAAGAGAATAGGAACACCCCTAAGAGAAGAGCAAATAGGGAAATGAGCACACACAGCACAGAGTGTGCAGGCCCTTGGTACTGGGCCAGGACCACACAAACGGTCCATAGCACAAGAAAGTGATTACAAAGAGGATGGGGAGACATCCAGAGTGGAAGAGGTTCTGGTAAGCATGTGGTGGGCCTCAAAGAGTGGCAGTGGGAATGCAAGCACCCCTGGGAGCAACATCAAGTAGGCCAGCCTCCAGCATCTCACTTTAGGAAGCCAGCAAGGGAGCAGACCCAAGGGCACCTCTTCCTGACTCTACTGTTGGCAGACTGTGCTGAGGTTCAGCACCAGTATGTGAAGATACTGAACATGATCTCAGCTTTCCAATTTTCTCAAAGGTTTGGAGGTGGATGAGAGGTGGAAGTGGGGACACCAAACACATTTTTGCCTAGTGTTTTGGAACAACAACAGCAAATACCCACAAAAGAAAAAAAACAAAAAACGGAAGTAGAGGAGAATTTGGAAAGGCATGTAGAAATATGCTTGCTTAGAAATCTAGAAAGTATAGTAAAGTTCCAGTCCAGCAAAACATCTAAGGTATGCTTAATTTTCTTCCTGCCAGTAATACCTTCCCTTACAGCTCAATATGTTTATGTGAGCAAAATATTTTAAATAAAACTTCCAGTAAGTAGACTGTAATGAATGGATCCAATATATTTAAAAACTATTAAGAAAACAAAGACCCAAGCTAATAGCTGATTGGCCTCATAGCTTTGCATGATTTATCAGTGCATTAAACACACAGGGAACTTGATCATTTTGTTTAAATGCTCACTAAGATGCATATGCTTTCCTAATATTGTCCAATATATTTTCAGAAGGAATAAAATATTCCAAATACTGGCAGTTACCTACATGTTCTCTATGAATCACTGGCTGCACTGGTTGTCTCTGAACAGTTAAGTTTAATATTTACAGTCTCACTAGGTCAGCACAATTTATTTTTCTGTTGGCAAAAGCTTCCTGGAGATTCTCCCAACAGAGAGGCAGAGGTAAGACAGAAGTACTCTTGGGCAGATTATATGTGCTGTTAAATTTGCTGAGATGTAACAGTATTATTTATTTTAAATACAAAACAGTTATTTGTCTCAACATGTGTAATTATAGTATCTTTAATACCTTCAATAGGTTGACTTCAATATAATTATCATCATACTACCTGGAAGGCCATGCCTTCTCTTGTCTTCCCCTGCTCTGCTACACTTCAGTGCAGAAAAAGCAGCACCACAGAAACAGTGAGGATACTTGACTGGAAATTTAGAATGTATAGTAAGTTCCAAATCCAATAAAACACATAAGCTACACTGAATTTTCTTCATGCCAGCAGTCCCAGCTGAAGCCAACAGATCACTCGTGCTGAAAGTTAAGCCTGTGCCAAAATGTACTGCTGGACAGAGACTTTTCATTTATTGTTCTCAAAACAGCCAGTATTTATTTTCCCAAGGCAGTGGGCCATATTTAGTCATTAATTATAAAGCAGAACTCCTCATCAGCTGCTTAGAAATTAACAGCATGAGATGGGCTTTTATGGATATAATCTCTTAAAGCTTCAAAATTCTTACTTAAACTTGTGGCTGAGTAAACTTAGCCACAAAGAATTTAAGTGACCTGTTCTAGGGAGTTAATGTGCGAGTCTGGATCAGCACCTAGCTCACAGTCTTTAACTGTGTGATTAAACTCAAAGAGGGGAGCACTACTAGCATAAACAAGTAGTTACTACTGTAGAATTAAAAAAAGTTGATGCAACTTTCTCTTACCTTGCAGCCAGTCTCGAAAGTAGTGCAACCACATTTTGGGGAGCTGCCTATCCTCTTCCAACAAAACATACGTCACATTGCTGAAACTTCTGTGAAGTTCATAGAGTAAGTGCTGGACATTTGGATAGTCTGCTTTCTGTGTCACAATATACATGTTGTAAAATGAAAAGTACTTGAATTGTGCGGCAATAAAGTCATATTCCCGTGTTTCCCGTGGTACAATGTCTGTGAGATCTAGTCCATCTCTCACTCGGGTAGTTCCATAAAGGCTGAGCCCAAGCAAACCCAGAAAAAGAAAAATAACCACAATCTGCAACAGAAAATGGAAATGCATTTGGTTTTAGGTTTCTAAAAAAATTAACACTTCATAACAGCACGCTACAAAGCCAGGTTCAAAATTAATACCAAGCAAGTCTACTTTAGAACTTTTATTTTTCCTTCTTTTTCTTTTTTCATACACATACACACTACAGGGCTAAGCTAGTTTGTGCTTTACTGAAGGGGCTCTGCATCATAGATGAGAAATTTGTATCATAATAAAGTTGAAAAGTGGCTTTAGTTTCACCATTCACAAACTTATGTTAACTGGAAGTCACCAAAACCCTCACTGGTAACATACCTGAAAAGTTAAGAAAAGAAATGTATCTGCTCTCTACAGCACTCACAAGATAAAACTTTTAAAGAAGTATGAAATTAGCTGTAAAATTATTAATAATTGTTATTCCAAAAGAATTCTATTTATTCTTTGTATTTAGTATCACTGCCGGGATAATTTTATTACTAGGAAAGGCAGAGTCTATTTTTTAAAAATGGGTAAATAGTTCCCTGATTACCTTGGCTTTTGGTTTTAGGAGGAACGGAGCATAATGCTTTTCTGCAAAAGATGAGAGTGTCCACTTTGTACAGGGTGGCTCAAGGCAATGCATGCTGGAGTCTGAGAATTGGGAAAGCAAATCCCTCGTCGAGCTTGTGCTTTCTGGGCTCTGGCAGCTGAAATTATCTTGCGTCACTGTCACAGGCTGCACAGATATTTCTGAGCGAGGCTCTGCTGTGGTGTAGTACACCTGCGTATGAGGATCGTATTCTGTGCGCAACTGCACTGTGGACTGCATTGTAATTTGAGTTTCATGTGCAAAACTGTGACTGCTGTATGGGGGTGGAGGACTGTAGCATCTATTGTCGTTTTCCACATACGCTTGAGGCTCAATCTGAATCACTCTAGTGACACATGGACTGTAAGAGAAGAGAAAAACATATGTTCATATTTAGATCGAACTTTATTTTAATCAGACTCAACAGGATAACCTGCTTCCATCCGAGACTGCTTCTACTACTATTAGATGGTTTGAATTAATTAAATGTAATGCTCTCACGTCAATGTTATTTGCACCTTTAGGAAACATTTCTCAGACATGGTTCAAAGTGTAAGCCTCTGAGAATATGTGCACAGTTCTTGCACTCAGGGAAGAAGATACTAGCATTTGTGTGAAGACACTAACATCTACCCACACTGCTCCATTAATTACACAGGCTACTCAGGTCAATATTCAGGTAGTTGCATACAGCCTGAATGCACAGTACATGTGTGAACTTGCATCTGTGTGCCCATGCTCAGAATGTATGCTTCATATGTAAATGTGCCTTAATTCTGATACACATTTGGTGCAACTTTAGATGAGGGAATAAACGGAAGGTCTGATTGCTCTGTACTTCTTGAGAATCAGGGCTCCAAAATTCAAGCACATGAGGCCAGCCACTGAAACCATGACTGAATCAGAAATAGAAAGTAGGAGTCTTGGCTTGGGATCAACGCCCTGTTCTAAACACTCTCTCAAAAACAAATTTAGGAAAGTGCTTTCTCTCTTTGACATTAAAACGTCTAACTATGTCAGCTCCTAGGTGGGTGTAAAACACTAAGATAACATGAGGTGGATTGTCCACATCCTTGTTAGGAGAGTAAGAGAACATGTGTAGAAATGTAGCTGATACTCTTCATTGCAGGTAAAAGCAAAAACGAAGGTAGAAAACATGCTTCATTTCTAAGCCATGGCTCCACTGATGACAGCAGACTCATCCTATCTCTATGCTCAGATCTGGCCATGTACCAGGTGGGAGTCTATGCATACACTCTTTAGAATGGTAGTGTTACCATTATAAATTACTATGGCAGCCATAACAGAAATTTTATCAGGAACTATCCTGTAACAGTACTGATCATTCCTCATAATCATATGAAACACTTTGCTAAGGGGAAGTCATTTTACAGTTTATATATTATATTTATGTATTTAAGTTTAAAGCCATAAAAAGCATAAAAATTAGCACACATGGTGATTAACTGTAAGGCTTTTCAGTACCCCAAGTTATATAGTTTTCCAATATTATCCAAAACTGGCACTGGACACCTTGCAGTACCCCTCAACATTCTCAAAAATACCTGAAAATACTCTCAAAGTGTGGCTCTTTTATCTGCTTTCGAAAAGCTGTCCTCCAACAACCAAAATAAACACATCCATGAATGAAAGGAAAAGTGTATGTGTGAAAGGGGCAGGGCAGGGGAGGGAAGAGAGGTATTCCAACTCTTCCCCTCACTCAGGTGAAAAACAAAGTAGCAAATGGAGGTCTGTCACTAGCAATTACCTCCTTAACAGTTACAGACTAACCCTGCTGCAGGAAAGATCTCTGACTCCTGACAAGGAATGGCAGCACTGAGTGCTAACCACAAAAAGGACACCCCTCATACCCCAATCTATCACAGATTCTCACCTTGTAAAACAGCAGAATATATCCAGTCTCCTGTCTTCCCGACGATAAAGGTCCATGCTCAGGATAGCAGGAAAAATCAGCAGAACCATAGCGAAGTTGAATACCACCACAACTGCTGCCTAGAGATCAATCACAGGAGCAGTGACATCATTACTAAGCTTCATGTAGGTCACCAGCTTTAAAAAGCATAAAACTTCCTTTCAGTTCTCATCCGTTCACCCATTTATCATGTCAACCCATCAGATGCTTTCAAGTTTTTCCCTCAGCAAACTGGAAGATAAAACTTTCACATTCCCATTTCATTATGGTAGGCCTATTGTAGTTAATTTATTTCCATAATAAACTTCGTATTACTTTAATACATCTGAGCCTGGAGATGTGATGATTATTTTTAAAGTGGAAAACCAGAGTCAACAGATCATAATTTTGCATGAGATCCTACTGTATTTGGAGTAAAAAAAGCAAAACCAAACCTGGAACTAGAGTGGAAGTTCTCACATTTAAGGGATCTGAAGTAATTTAATCATCACAATAACATTAAAGCACATTGTTAAATCAGAAATTAAGTAAAGGTTTAAGTAAATTTTAATGAAACGCTTCTATTTACTAAAATTCTAAAGTACTTGAAGTACTTACTTAGAAGTTTAGCCGGTAAGAGCAACATTGTGGGTTTATGAGGGAGTATTTTAAAAGGAGAATCAAAATTAATCCAACACCACATAGTAAATCTATGTATTAATATGTTTGTGTTTGACAACTTGATTAATGAGCCAGTCTGCCAAAATGAGTCTTAAATTGGAAGGATACTTGATTTAATTTGTATTATATAATGAAAAAACCCAACCTCCCTCCCATTTCAAATCCTACTTCAAACCCTTTCCCACACAGAGATTCCCATAGAATCTCCATAAACATATGTGGTGCAGCATCTATCATTATTATTAATAGCATTTATTTGTAATGCAGAATTGTTAGGAGCACTAGCCATCACAAAGGAAAAGCCTGAGCACAGATGGGACTGGAAGATAGTTCTAAGAGTTGGAGAGACACTGGGAAAAAAATGGTTGAGCCATTAACAGGGGAAGAAGAACCCTGAAATCCTTATACTTTACCTATTAGATAAGCAGTAGCCATCTCAATAGTAGCCTGATTTCAGGTTAAGGAAATCATCTAAACTATCAAGTTGCCCCACCTGTAACTTCTGAAGTAATGGCCACTTAGGTTAAAGCAGTCATAAAAAAAGAACAAAAGTTGGGCTACAAAAATGAAGTCGCTGACCTGATACAAATAGGCCCTCCTTTTTGCAGAACAAATGAATGGCTGCTTTTGATGTTGAAAAATCAGGCCTCAAAGCTGGTAGCTAAAAAGATGCTATAACCAAAATCCCTGTTTTGAAAATTCTTGGCTTACATGTCAAATAAATAATACAAAATGCCTAAATAATGACAGTTTTGTTTTTGCATCTCTTTATCTGCGAAAACTAAAGTATTAACACACTGAATGATTTCAAGGGTTTTAAAACTGTCAAAGTATAAAAAAAAGACTAGATATTGTTTTTGCTTTTCTGAGAATGACAGAATCAACTAGTTATGTAAATATTTTAAAATAATTATTAATTCTAATAAATATGTTGTATACAAAAGTATTTTCTATTGATATTTCTCTTTTGTTCTCTCTAGCCTGCCTGAAGTAAGATTTTGGCCCTGCTGGTTGTTCATAGACGTAACTACTAAACCAGAATTTACCTAGTACTTAAAAGCCAAATTAGTACTTGGCCATTTTTGAGAGAAAAGATCCAGTCACAATTTCATGATTTATAAATATCCACACAGAAAGGCATATAAGGTCATAGTCAAAACTTTAAAATTATTTCCTTTTCATTCTCCCTAGAATTAATTGAATCTGTCAGAAAATTAAATGGCTGCTGTTGAAAGCAAGGTGTTTGTTGGACCTAGTTCATACAACTGCTTCCTTTATTGCTGCTAAACCAGAAAAGGCTGAATCATCCATATAACATGAATAATTAGTTGTGTCTAACCAATATCTTCTATCAAGGATCTGCTAAGATTTACTAAGATTTGGAAAAAACAGCTGAGGCTTGACTCCGTAATTCTTAGTCCTCCTAGCATGGCTGAAAAACTAACAGAAGTCCCCTGTTCTATAAACTGCAAACACTTCATGCCGTATCAATTCCCTCTGTAGAACCCAACATCCTTGAAATCTCAAATGCCACTAAACCTGAAAACTGATACTTCAGAGTGTGGTAGAGATGCCATTAAAGTTAGTTATATTCATGCTGGATTTTTTAAGACGCATCAAAACTAATCCAACACCACACGGTAAATTTGCCTACTAACGTGGCATCCCTCTTAGAACACTTTTTAGGGTATTGATGTACCAGCCCTGCAAGTAAAATATTTTTAAAGAATCCTCACTGTTCTGATTTGGACTTAAATAGATTCCTAGAGCTTAACACCTCACTTCTTATTGCACACTGTCTCTCCGTCACCCACCTCCTCAGCATTTCAAGGATGTTCTCAGTTTTCACACTTAAATACAGAAAATATTGTTCCTGTATCAGTTTTAATTTGTTGTCCCATCAAAAAACATGCTGTCACTTGATAACGAGAGGAAAGGAAGAACTGCTGAGGGATGAGTCAGTGCCTGACCTGATGCATCAGCCACCGATCCCCCTCCAATACCACTTAGACATCTGGTGGCTGGGAATAGGAACGTATGAGACATGTGATGATGGTAATACCCCACAAGCTGTAACTATTACACTGATTAGAAAAGTACCAACAAAAAAAACGTGGCTGCAGAGTTTCCAGAGTACAGGCAATCTGTTAGCAGCACCCAACCTGAAAGCATGCTTTGGATTTTTGGAGACAGGGCATCCTCTTACCCCTTCAGAGGTGAATGGTCAAGTGGGAAAGAGCCTTAGACCTTTTCCTTGAGAAATCAACACAGGTAATATTAGTCCTAGGAGGGATAAAATGGGGCCTACTCAAGGGTGTAAAATGAAGGCATTCAGTGAAATGAGATCAGAGAGTAGTAAAAAATTCCATTAATCAGAAAAAAATGTTGGCCACTTCCTGAGAAACATACTCCACTTTTTGCATCTTTTCATAATGCACAGCTTAAAAATATTATTGCTGCTGCAACTGTTAACGGAGACAGAAGAATGGCAGTCTGTGCTGGAAGCAGCAAGGGAGACGCGAGCCAGGCTGGTAGGCTGGGGCCCCACTGAAGGTATGTGCTGCTATGTGCCATTCCTGGCAGCCCACCCAAGGAGAACGGGTGTGCTGTATAGCCAGAGGTGATGAACAGATGAGGAGGTCTGTCAGGGAAACTTCCACCCTACTGCTCTCTATCTGCAACTCCCTCCTGACAGTATACAGACCCAGATTGCCCCTGTGCCCCACCTCTTCCCTTAGGCTTTAATTTTGCTTGTTAAATTCTCATGTCAGGAACAGGCAAAGGTAAATGATGTGAGTAAAAGGAGGGGGACAAACCACTTCAGCAGAGCAAGATAACTGAAGGAGCTTAAAAACTTACGTTCTTTCCCTCCACAAACCCACCATCAAACCACCTGGTACACTTAGGAAAAAAACTTGTCATT